CCAGAGAAATTAATTTCTGATCGCGGTATATATCAGTATATTTAAGGTATATCTAAGGTCTACACTATGCTTAACATTCTGGCCTTGCCAAGACTTCTCTCTCCCATCGCCTAAGGAACCGGGCTTGGAAGATCGCAGGCGTTAGGGTTAACTCTCATTAGCTTTTACGCTCTCCAATGTGGTCGCCGCCCCTGCTATCGCAAATATCCGCTAGCACACAAGTTGACAGTTTTTCGAACAAGGCAAAGATCACGAGACTAGCCGAATTTATTGAAGTCATACAATTTCGTGACCGCAAACGGTCACTGTCCATTAATAAGATAAATTAACTGTCGATATCTAATTGGACAGTTAATTTACCTTATTAATAGGCAGTGACCGTTTGCACTTGAATAGGAGGTCGCGAAATTGTATGACGTCAATAAATTGGGCGTGTCTTGTGATCTTTGCCTTGTTTAAATTTCTTCCGGGAAAACAATGTTTCAATCTTCTGACAGTTTTTCGTTGACACTCCCTAGGTGAGTCGAAATCATCAGGTGACTTCTACGCGCTAGTTAATTTCGAGGAGTAAATTCCGGATTTTGCTGTATGTGAAATTTGAATTGTCCTGATTGAGTCAAGCAGAAAAGTGTCTTCGCTACGCTTTGACAGGCGCCTACGTGTTCAACATGCGTTCACAGTTCCCTGCGTTCAGAACTAGTTAACAATTCCTTCCCAACTTAGAATTTCCTCTTTCATCATTTGACGTTCTTTGTTTCTTGCTTCCCTACCGGAGCTTCTGTTATTGTCCGGATCGGTTATGATGAAACATAATCACATGTTCGGCAATTCTAATTTCTTCAATTTTTGTTCAATGCAACGGGATTTTGGCTACATCTGCTCATTACCAAATCTCGATCACTCATCAAGCAATCATACAACGAAACATCAGAAGACCCTGAGGATCATTTCAAGTGAATACAATTTCAAGATGCACTTCCAGTTTTCAATGTAGGGATCTATGCTAGACATTACAATGTTCTCTCATCGTTCAAGCATATTGAGGATAATATGTAACTCTTAGGTTTATATGCCCCTTAGTGTCGAAAGAGTTAGGCATCCGCGTTGATGGTCGTATGTTAAAATTACGACTTTTGGGAGCAGGACCTAGTTACTTAGGTGGGGATTACATATGAGAAGACCAACCAAAATAATTGGCAAATAGTAGGTATTTTTGATGAGGATAAGAAGAAGTTTAATACCACACATGAAAACCTGCCTATTCCCCGTATT